CCAAACTGTTCAAGATAAACAGAGCTCCAGAAAGAAGGTTTGAATATGTTATGACTGTAAGAAATCTGAGTGAACAGACTCTGGAGTTGACAGAAATCCAGTGTTCAAAGACAAATTATTGATTTAAATGTAACARCAGAAAATCACACTGTAGCTTTCTTGGAAGAAATGCCTGTCGCTCGTTGCAATGTTCTAAAGCTTGTGTTGTGAAGGACTCAGCAAYAATACAAATCATTTTTTTCTTGCTCAATATCTAAAATATTAAGGGATTTAWGATATTTTTTGTTTATTTTGCTAAACGTCCTCCTTCTCCTTCCTGTTTGTTGACCAATAGGAGAGGAGCTGACCCAAGAGGCCCCGCCCACCTTATTTGCACAATAATGTCAGATTCGGTCCTCCATATTAGTCAGGATCAGTTTCACAAGTTTTTATGAATTCTGTCAAACAAGCAAAGTCTGATTTTCATTAGTTGATTTTTTTTCTCATTAYTTGTGTCAGTTTCAGGTTATTTCAGTGATGTTTTATTTTTTCTTTACTGAAAGGTCTGAGCACACGATCACTCCCCATTTATGGCTGCAGGTGATATGTTAAAAGACCTTTTATAYAAATTATCAGCAAATAATTCCATTGTTATTAAACTGCTCATAAACGATTTGTCTGTTTTATGTTTTTATTGAGGTGATTTAAAAAAAAATATCAGCCATGCTTCATAAAGCTTTTCATTTTGCTTGAAACACATGCAAGAAAAAAAATCACGTTTACTGTGATGAACATTTTCACATTTTCAGAAAACAACATTTACCCCTTAAAAATGATTCTCAATTATTTTAGCTCAGGAGCTATACTGTTTATGTTTTTTTCTTAAATCACTGATTTATTTTAACATCCTTCTTGAACAATTGTTAAACATTAAAAAAGATATAAACTATAACTAACAGGTCACAGTGAACCTCAAAGCCTCACAACACCAAACAGAGGAGATGAGCTTTGGTTGTATAAAAAAAAAAGGAAATAAGAACAAAGAAAAATAAAAAAAGTTAATAATATATTTGGTGCTTGGGATTCTCTAAACACATATTTCACATTTGCATTTTTACTGGGCTGCAGAATTTTCCCCTAAAGCATCAGAATGGTGACAAAACAAGAAGAAAACTGAACATGTGCTGCAAAAAAAGAACTCTGAGAGTCAATAATTATTTKTCCCATAATCCAAACTACAATTTTCAAGCCTAGTTGGGAGGTTGTGTTAAATGTGAATAAAAGTGTAACAAAATGATTTGCAAATCTCATAAACCAATATTTTATTCACAGTGTAACATGGTAAACAGATCTAAGAAATTACAATATACTGTATTTTGGATCAAAAAATATGATAATTTAATTTTTTTTGACAAGACCTGGGCAACAAAAGGTTGTAAAAGCAAATGTTTTTAAAAATAAATAGGTAGAGGAGCATCTTCTAGGTTAGTTATCAACAGAGCAGTGCAGTCTTAAAAAACTGTCTAAAGATACAGTAGTAGAACAGTGTCTGAATAATGTTTCTCAATGGGTGCAGCATGGCAGCAGTTGTTAGATCTGTCACAGTGAGAAGGTCAGAGGTTTGCCTCCTGGTCTGGGAACTTTCTGTGTGCAGTTTGCATGTTCTCCCCATGCACCATACTCCCCACAGACCAAAAACATCCACGTTAATTGGTGACTCTAATTGTCTGTGAGTGGTTAGTTGTCTCGTGTCCTTGTAATAACTTGTGGCCTGTCCAGGATCCCTCCTCAYGCAGGATGACTGCTGGAGATAAACAACAGCTACCTGGAAGTGGGCATGAATATATCTGGACCAGYAGTTCCCAAAGTTGGGGTCGGGACACACAGTGGGCTCCTGAAACATCAAGGTGGGGGCCTGAAAAGAAATGACTTCTAACATTTTTTTCTCCTTAGTTGTTTCAAAAGAGTGAAGCTTAAAATAAAATAAAAAATGCACAATGAATTAGGGCTGTGTATTGGCAAGAATTTGGCGATATGATACATATCATAACAGAGGGGTCACGATACGATATATCCCGATATATTGCGATACTGTAAGCAAGGCAATATATTGCGATGTATTGCGATTTTTTTGTCCAAAAATTCTATTAAATAAAAACCTCTTACTGAAAAAAAAAAAGAAAAGCTAATGTTTACTTACAATGCTAATGCTACCCTTACTCTCTGGCGCTCAAGAGGTAGAGGAGCCAAATRGCTRGCTCACTGCTGCCAACTAGTGGTCAGAGACTGAACTACAACATAAAAATGAACGGCTGGCAAGAAGGTTGACATTTTAAACCTTAATTAAAAATCAGTACAGGGCTTTAGAATATCGATACAGTTTCGGGAAATGAAATATTGCGATATTTCAGTGTATCAATATTTTCTTACACCCCTACAATGAATACTGTTTATTYGACCTGATGCCAATGTTTATCAACCAAAAATACTTGGGGGCACGGGTCTCTGCTAGTTATTTTTCAAAAGTTGAAAAGTTTGGGAACCACTAACGCATAGCAATACACTGACATATATGCATTAGTATCTGTAAATCGGTTATAGAATGCTTGTTTTCTTTTATTAYATGAGCTCAGGAACACTTTCACAAATCTGTAAGCARAGTTTACTGTGCTATTCACAAGTTTAGACTACATTACTGTAATTACAGGAAGATTTGCTCAAGGGGTGTCCAGGGCCACAGATCTGATTCAGGATGATCTYTTTAAGCTCTGCAGAAGCCTSTTAATCATYWATTTGTTCAAAATCAGATGTGTGGGACAAGAAACAGCTAAAAATTACAGAATAAAGTCATCATGGTTTGTGTTATCTTGAAAATACATTTATATTTTTAAAATCCAGCGGTTTCTGAAAGTTTCTGAAACTGTGACGTGCACTTCACAGTGAGTTTGTGGTTGTTATAGAAGTGTCTCAAGCTGTTGCCGGAAGCCCCTGAAACAGCACTTCCTTTTCCCACAAACCAACGAATGAGGGAAAAAATAGGGACAGCYGTTGGAACYACAGATATCATAAAGGCCTTTATGATATCAGCGGAGAGAAACAAAAAATGTCAGAAGACGGTCCTCAAGGAGTGACAAAACCACCAAATGGATTAGAGACAGAAACTGGTCAACACATCGTCCTGAATGGAGGACTGAAGCAGAAACTGATGATGGACTCTACCAACCACGGCTTACWCCAAAATGCAGCCCTGGTGTCCAGACCCCTCTCAATGTGGGAAACCCACTCCCAGGTGAAATCTCACTGCAGCTTTAAAACTTCTTTGTGAAAATCTCTGCATTTGTGACCGAGAAAGGAAAATGACCAGAAAAGGGGAACCGAGGATTATGACCCTCTCCGCTGCGTCAGACCTCTTTTGGAGATGATAAACACGAGGTGCAAAGCCATCTATCCAAGACAGCACCTTGCAGTTGATGAAAATCTGRTTGGGACCAACCAGGCTCTGCATAAAGCAGTTCATCACGGGCAAGCAAACAAAGTGGGAGCTGAAGCTGTTKGTGCTTGCTGACACAAACAGCTACACTGTTGACTTCAAGCTTTACAAGAACACGTCAAAGACAGCAACAGGGAAGGGGCTCGCTTTTAATGCAGTAACTGAGCTGGTCAACAAATACTACCCATGGTCTGGGTGTATAATCTACACAGACAACTTTTACACCAGTCCATTCCTCTTCCCACACCTGAGCCAGCTGGGATTTGGAGCTTGTGGGACGTACAGTCAGGGAAGGGTCGGTGTTCCCACCACCCAAGAAAACACACTCACTGAAAGCTCCCCATGAGGCAGAATCTGGTGGATCAGGGACGGGGAGCTTCTATTTGTGAAGTGGATGGATACCAGGRAGGTGTCCATGTGCTCCACCATCCACCCAGTGTACAGTGGGAACAAGGTGAAGCGCAGATAACAGGTGATGGAATACAACAAARGATCTCCGTCCCAAGGCCCACCACATTGTAAGAGTACAAGTACAGAGCGAGAGTGGTTACCTCAGATCAGATGTTTGGCACAAATACAGTCAATTGGAAAAACAGGAGATGGTCTACAGCTGGTTTCCAGCATCTGGTTGACATTGCTTTGACAAGCTCTTTTGTCATTCGTAAGGATCTATGTGCCAGCCTAGGAAAACCTAGCCTGGCCCTTGCCTTCCTACGCAGTTCTGCTCAATTCTAGTTTCCCTTCTCTGCTCCGTCTGGGATTTCTCCCATAGACAACGATTTCACTGGCAGATTTTAGCCGAACCGATCAGAGAACAGAACGTTGATTTTCTGCACATTGTCTGCTTGTAGTTTATTTTACCTGGGCCAATCAGCAAACAGAAGGCGGAGTTTTGAACGACGTCGATGTTCTGCGCAGTGTCTGCTGGTTAGTTAACAATGGCAGTGGAGGAAGTGAATGAAGCCAGTCYGTGTTGATAAGGCTTCCAAATTAAAATAAATTTCTCTGACAAAGCAGCAGCTCTCATTTACAAACGTCTCGTTCGGCTCGGTACTTCTCTCCTCTCAGTAGGGTTGTTTACAGCACACGTGATTTCCGGTTAGCTTCTTAGCTTAGCCCCCTTCACAGCGGCACACACACTTCAGAGGCCACGCCTCCAGCAAGAATCGCTTCTCTATAGCAGCGASTCCAGACCCTAGTAAGAAGCAAAGTGAAGGACAGGGTCTGGTTTTTACCAGGCTAAGGAAAACCCTACGTGGTACATATCTACCTGTCCCAGAAGTGGACTACCTGCAAATGAGAGAGCCAGCATGGGGCAGTGGCACTGCAAACTGTGCAAGAACAGTCCCCGGAAGTGTGAGGAGTGTGATGTGGGCCTGTGTCTGTTGCAGCCAGWCAGAAACTGTTATAAATTCCACCAAAGACCACAAAGACATGTGAAGGAGCACTCTTCATCCAGAGAAGGGTGGAATTATGGGTGGTGAAAAGAAAACCCTCCTGTTTCATGTTTTGACAAGTCTCAACTGGTCTCTTTAGTTTTTAGATGTTTATTGACRGTAGTTCAAAAAGAAGGGAAGCACAGAGTAAATACAGTCCTGTCAAACTAACTTTTTTATTGATAGTTCTTTAGTTTGATATATTTTCTAAGTTTCACTGTAAATACAATATGGATTTGAGATTTGCAAATAATTTCTTTTTACACAACRACTCACCTTTTTCAAAATTGAGGTTGTAGAAAGTATTTGGAAGCAATTTATCTAGACAACATGCAAGATTTGTGAGAAAAATCTTTTTTTTTTTCGGTTTACTGTTTATCAATAGATAGAACATTGGTACCACATTTTGAATATTTGACCAACATTTTTTTCCCTTTGTCAAATCTGTCATTGTTTCTAAATCAAGGTTTGTACCAAAAATGTTTTCAGCTTCCCTGATGTATCAGCCTTTGCAAGAATGCTTCACACACTGGCAGTTAAACTTTCACGTTTGCCCAAAACTAACAGGACACCATGATGGCTACATTGATTTTTCTTTGTATTGAATGCATGGTCTGTAAAATTAAATAAAAAAAGCTCCAGCTGAGCACAGAAACTAGAAACAGAGGGAATAATTAGCCTTGTTTTATTCTTAGGTATGAAAACCTGTCCATGTGCAAGTTGAAAACTGGTAAATTACCATGCTTATTTGTTTGATACAGCAAAAAAAAAAAAACAAAAAAAAAAACTATTTCCTACCTGGGTTGAGCAGTTGCTAAGAAATCAGCAGCATTCTTAAAGTTAATCTTCGTCTTGAAATACCAAAGAAATAGTTGAGCACATCACCTTTTCAAACACTGGACTTTTGCGTTTGTTTTTGTAAAAAGCTGGATTTTCTTCAACCTTGAATGAAGCTGCTAACTTRTTGTCCCCGACATTAATTCTCCTCACCAGAAAGCAAGCCAAATTTATTTGAACAAAATGTCAAACTATTCCCTAAAATGTTTGTCGTTGATTGTCATATATAGTTCATATGCAGACAGGACGTGTCTGTGCACTGGATGTAATAACAAGCGTGTTTTCAGTTCATATTTTTTGTTGAAAATCTAAATCGCTGCATTCTCAGCTGCGTTTAAAGTTCATTTTTGTGAACGTCGACGCACACAGAACCCTCATGTCGCAGCGATCCATCGAAAGTTCGAATGCAGGAGATCACACAGGTTTGACGGATTGATTAAAACGCTGAAACCACCGTCCTGATTGTCAGTACTTCATTTTCAAACTCATCAGTTTTAAGAGGCTGGGTCATGAAGGCAAATGTTACCCATCTGGAAATGATGCTCATGCATCTAATGAGCAGTTTCATTTGAAAAGCAAATGCAGTTCAGTCGTCCTTTTTAGCTCGTGAGCTACTGAGCCGAGCAGTTGTCCCATCACGCACTGCTCTCTGTGTTCGAACACATCCCAGTTTACGAGTATATGGACCAGTAGATGATGTTAAAGAGAATGTACGCTCCGGGAAAGACGACCCTCGAGTATTTGTCTATGGCATGGGTGTCAATCCAGATGTTCACGTAACCTCTGGATGCCTTCACCTGGCCTGTGATCTGCGGGTCGTTCAGCGCCACCTGGGCCAGAATCCGTTCCTGGCGGCCGCCGTTCTCTGGCATCCCGTAGTTTCCTGTGGTGTTGATGTCCATGGACCCGTACCCGGTGATCTGTGGGTCGATCATCATCTCATCGGGGTTGCCAATGCCACACGTGCACGGCAGCTAGGCCAGGAAACGACAACAAAAGACACTCATTTGTTTCGTATTTGTATTTCTTTTAAGCACATTTAAAGTGTTAAAATGACTGATATGAAACATTTATATATATATAAAAAACATGTTYATGCTGGAAATTCTCCTCGAGGTATGTGGGCAATTTGGCTCCATATGCCACAACAGTTGGCAGAGGAAGAATAGCAGCACTGCAGTCCCAGAAATAATTCACTGTGGCCCTTAGAGCTGCTTTGAGTGAGCCAATTTAGAAAATATTTATGTTTATTGGCAATGGATATTAATTATTGACACATTTTTCTGCCAGTTGTTTTATTTTGAAGACATTTTGATGTGAAATCAGGCCACAGGCTGTGCTGAGCATAAGCTGCTGATGATTCTGTGGAACTCCCTTAAAATGGCTTTTTTGTTTGTTTGCTTGTTTGTTTTGAAGTCTCATTAAGAATGCATCATWTTATGGAAACTTGAGTCAACCAAAATGTAGCTTTAGTTTTGAAGAGGTGTGAACAAATCTGTCAACACAATATTAATGAAGATAAGTATAAAACTAAAGGCCTAGAATTTCTTTAGGGAATGCAGTTTTAATAAGCTAAAGTTAGCTCAAGGGTCTGCAAACTTTATGATCAAAAGAGCCATTTATGCTCCTTATCTCACTAATAAAATGTGTCCAGAGCCACAAAACAAGCTACAACTGTGATTATGAACTAGTGGTCCGTGGGCCTTTTCAAGGCCTTTTTGGGAACCTTTATGGTCAGCGGAGGTGACATTATAAAACTAAAAATATTGTTATTATTATTATATTATTTATAATTATACACATCAGGACAAATAAAAAAGACCATATTCATGTAAACAAGAAAAATACAGTTTATACGAAATTTCATAAAACTAGTACAACGTAATTATTTAGGCATATTTTTTCTCTAATTCTTCTTATTGTGTAGTCTTCAAATTATTTATAGGTAATTCTGATGGATTTGAAAGAAAGATCATAGAAAGAAATTGGTATATTTCAGTAAGCAACAGGTTAGCATGAGCTAACATGTTTTACTTTTTGTATTAGTAGTATTGATCACATATTTGTATACAAATTGATTTTTGTTGTGGGTATAAAAATAAAAAAATAAAAATGTTTCTGTTCTATTTAGTCACATTTTCAAAGAGCCACTGCAGAGGGCCCAAAGAGACACAGGTGGCCCCAGAGCCGCAGGTTGCAGACCCCTGGGTTAGCTTATGCTAAAAACTCTGCGAATAACAAGCCCAATCTTGTGATATTAACAGTTAGCTGTTAACACTTGGAGTGTGTGTGGTGCTATTACCACACCAAGTTTAAGCACAATATCTGCAACAGTGATGGAGTTAGAGCCATTTTTGTGTTTTCCAAAGTTGGGTAACTGCAGTGACCATCTTGTTTGACTCCAAAGTTAATCAGTTGTAAAGTCGGATCCAATGATTATTTCCTGGAATGTGCAGAAAAAAATAATCCAATGATTCACAAAATGTTTACTAACTGATAGCGTTGACTCCAGCAGTCAGTAAAGTTTGGAGCACAAATCTTGCAGCATCATTTTGGGCTCAGAGTATAAGCTGCAGATGAATTTTAGCTACTCCCACATGAAATTTAACCTCAATATTTATTAAATTGATAGTGTTGCAGCCATGTTTGTGTCTGCTAAGACTGTTTTGATGTGGTGGCCATTTTCAAATGAGTTCATTCCAAAAGCTCACAGTTCTAGATATGTCCCTAATTATTACTGTTTGGGTTCAATAAAAATTCATCCAGTGGAACAAGAGATATTTTGCCAACATGACAAATGTGGAATAAAACGTAATCCCCCTTTTGTGCTTGGAGTCAAACAGACTTAATAATGTTTAAAAACTAAACCAGTTTTCTTTAATTAACCAAACCTTCTATGATTAACATAAAAGTACCCATTTCCAAAAGGAACAYATCAACAGTTTTCATATGCATAGAAAATGTGTTTTGTCTCTGTGAATCAAAAAGAAAGAGAGAGAAAAAAAAAAGAAGGTCGTCTGCTTTTAATTTCCCAGGTAACGAGAAGTGATGAGTAATAAATTAAACAGCAAAGTAAAAGCAGGAAGAAGAACTCACTCGCTCCCGCAGCTTCCTCTCTTTCCTCTCCTGCACGGTTGAGAGGTAGTTCACTGCAGCGTACTCTATCACTGACAGGAAGACAAAAACAAAACTGACCCAGAGATAAATGTCCACCGCTTTAATGTAGGACACCCGGGGCATGGAGGCATTGACCCCGGTGATGATGGTGGACATGGTCAGCACTGTGGTGATGCCTAAAGGAGGGGAAAACAAACTGCTTAGTCATCCTGTTTACTCTCATTCTTTTCAGACTGTCTTAAAAAGAGACAGTGAGTCCCACTCTCTTTTTATTCACCAATTAAAAATAACATTTCATTTTATTATTTACAAAAGACAAGTAGCTTGTGCAACATCCACCTTTCTATAAACAGCTGTGGAAACTGAAAAACAGACCCAAGCAAGTGGAGGCCCACCTTCCTTTATTAGTTCGTTCAGATTTGAGCTGCTGGCTCTGATGTTGCAGCTCTGACAGATGGCTTCAAACAAAATTGCACTTTCCGCCACGGACTTACTGAAATTTGTGACATTTTGCTGCAAGCTCTAAAAGATCAGAGCTTCCTTGAAAAGTAGTCTATTTTGCCCCCACAGTGATGTGTTTACAGTCTAGTCAGAAGTTGGGGTGAGCAGAGGCAAGGCATTCTACAYGCTCTGTGTTTTTATTTTGTTTTATGATGCAATATTTTAGCGTCTGGGTGGTATGTGTATAGGTAAAATACACATAGTTCTCAGTCTCCCTGCATGGGTACAAACAGTACCTATAGTAAAATGTTTTCTTTTTTTGTGCAAAAATTAACAACGCAGAATGACGCTCACAACATATTGTCACAGTAAGATATCTCAGTTTTTCTGTTAAAGAGGACATGTCATGCAAAATCCACTTTTAGCCATTAAATGCATTTTGTTGTGTCTCTGGAGTCTCTAATAGTGCAGAAAAATTAGATTTTGCTGCATAGATATCTTTTTATTTTGTTTGGGTCATACTTTTCAACCCGTTCAGTTTTCTCTGTTTTCTGTGATGTTTTCTAAACTAATACGTCACCGATTTTGCAACAGAACTGCCACATAAGGTCTGGACTTAACTAGGGCTGCACCGATTAGTTGAAATAATCGATGACGTCGATTATGTAAATTTGTCGACGCAGATTTTTTATTATCGATTCGCTACATTACATAACCACCACGTGAATGTTCATGCAATTCCATTTCGGTACCTAAATGCATCATTATGACCGTTTTGGCATAAGAGTGGTGAGTTTTCCATGCTTGTCCTGAACGCAGCATCGCGCAAGAGCGTAATGACGTCAGCAGCCGCTGCTTCAGTTCAGTCTAAAGCTTGAAAACAAGACTCGCAGCTCCTGGAGTAAAATTTACCGAACAGACCGCCTCTGAATTATCTGGTGGATTAATTATCTTGTGAACATAACGTTCGCTTGCTCAAAGTAAATAAAGTACYGYCACTTTCTTTATTTCATCCACCATTAAACAGAGACCGGTGTTAGGTCGAGCCACGTTCCCCCATCAGACGGTTCCCCCATCAGACGGTTCCCCCATCAGACGGTTCCCCCATCAGACGGTTCCCCCAGCGTCTCAAACAACAGAGGAGCTTCCCGACACACGTCTGACCTAAAGAGCACAAGCAGCCAACAAGTGTTGTACATGTTTTGGATGTTCAAAACGTAGCTTAAATACCTTTTATTTATTTTAACTGCATCCTCTTTTGTTTATTTGATTTAAACTTTTTTGCCTTCCATGGACCTCCATCACACATTTTTCTAGTGGGGAAATGACATCAATAGAAATATGTGGGGCTGGATTTTAATTTGTGCAATAAGACAAAACAGTCTTGTTGTTTTCAACAGTTTTCACCTTAAAGAAATAAATTACACAACTGATGTTACAATACAAAGAGTTGGATGTTGTCTTGATATTTGTTAAATTTTATTTATTGAGAAATATGTTAAATAAAGAGTCAGCCTCAAAAAGAGATGATCTGAGACACAGCTCAGGGGTTTGTGAAGTTACAATAAGGAGGAATTCAGACCAAAGCATTGAAGTTCCASTGTATTTAGACCCCAACTGAATGATTTTAATGYGAAAAAGAAGGATTTAAAAGCATGATATGGCTCCTTTACTGTATATAATTTGCATCTTGACTGATGCACTAAGCAGTATATACTGTATACATATACGTATATGTTTTGTGGACTGAGCTGTAGAATGAAATATGCAATACTGAATTGACAAAATGTTGGAACAAAGTCTACTTTGTTGTGCCTCAAACCAGAAAATACTTGTCATTTGATGCATTAGAAGCCAAGGTTATGTTAAACTGTGCCTTTCAATAAACCAGGACAAAAGTGAAGTTAGAAAGGACTCAAGGAGAGAACAATCTGACAAATCAAGTGCTTTTTCCAAGCGATTTAAACAATTCAGTGATTTTCAAAAGCTGCTTTTTAGTTTATTTTTTTTCCCGTTCGGGGCAACTAAGAAGTGGAACAAGTTTCCTGATGGATTTGAGTTTTTGTCCCCCTCGAGAGCAAAAAAAAAAAAAAGGTTTTCATTCAGTGCTGCTGGTCATGGTATTGAATCAACAGGAATCACCTTTTTAAAATCTCGTCAATTTTACAATTTGTTATTTTTTAAGATAGCAAGGAATTTCAGTGAAGATGAGCAAAGGCATTTAATTGGCTCATAGTGATGCACTGATGGAGAACAGGACTGGCCAATTTATGTTACGACCCATCTTGAGTAGTTTAGGAATTTGATTATTAAAAACAGCCAATTAAGTTAAAAGAATATTCTAAAATCATCCTTTAGCAGTGGTTCTTTCATTTGTGGAGGATATTTTGAGGGTGTGCGGGGTATGTGAGGGGGTATTAAGTATTTTCCAGGTACATTTCTATACCACAATCAAGTGACTATGTTACCTTCAGTTGTTATAAAAATGCTGTATATTTCAAAAAATAAATGWGACTTTGCWYCATAGCCTGTCTAAACGCCTTGAAATTAGCCTCTGTCTCCTTAAGAACCTCTTACCATTTCTGACACTCCCACTTCAGCTTGTTTTCACAACAATGCTTYGGGGGAGGTGTGCTCTGTGGGGCGGGAGCTCTGCTGCAGACTGAGCTCCAGGGAGGAGCTTTGTACAGATAGGCGGTGCTTTGTACCAGSAAAAGTTTAGGCAGCTCCTAATGGCTACCATAGGATTCAAGGATTTATCAAACATGCGTGAATGAGTCAAAGCAACACTGCGTGTGTTTTTGATGAGAGAACGATATTATAACATGATATAAAGTTGATTTGACATAATACCCCATCTTYAAGGTAAAACAGAAAGTTACCTAGTGGTACCCTGGCGGGCACGGCCCTGCGGTCGATCCAAAASGACACCCAGGASAGCATGACCATGAGAGTAGCTGGGAAATAAGTTTGCAGCAGGAAGAAGAAGATGTGGCGTCGCAGGGTGAAGTGGATGTACAAACGATTGTACCAGCCTAGGATGAAGAAACACCACCATTATACGCACTGTCATACGCTGGATGCTGATGAACCGTGAAGCATTGTCCCAGCACTCTGGCGGAGTGAGATAGGGACAAAATCCTTTTTTATGCTTCAGGTTGCGAGAAAAGTGACGTGGTTGTATGAATATCACATCGGCTTCCAGCACTGAACAAGTGGCTGGCAACAGTTTGATTCATTTTTCTTTTGTACAAAGAATTCAACACCGGYTCGGTGTTTCTGGAGGTAATAATTTCACGCGTGAAAAACTTGTTCCTTTTGTGAGAAAAGACAAAGTAAAACGGTGGGTTGTAGTACCTGTGCTACTGTAAAAAGCCAGCTTTGTGGTGGTGTGAAATTTTTGGATCAGGAACTGGGACAGGGAGATTCTGTCGTCCGTGTTGAGCGACTCGTTTCCCTTTTTCCAGTAGAGCATCAGGTCATCATCTGTGTACGCATCTGTCAGTAAAATATGTCGAATTAAGTGTAAATTCGATAAACAAAATCAGCGCAGATTAASTGCAAACAAAGCTGCTGCATGACTATGTGAGCAAAACAGGCATTAAAACACCAAAACATATCAAATGAAACTCTTAACTCCTCAGAGACTAATATTTAAACACTGTTCTTTACACACAGTACACTTTCTAAAGCTGGAAATGCAAAATGAAAAGAAAAAAAAAGTATTAAAACAGTGTGAGCTCTTTGAAGCGAGAACGTGCCTTGAAACTTTAAAAGCATGATTTATCAGGCATTTTGTGAAATACAGTATCTGGTGGGCAAAGWTGACACGTTCGTTTCAGCAGAGAGCGAGAAAAAAACTCATGCAGAGAATCCAAAGTGAGACTTTAATATTTTGTGTAAAAGCAGCATGATGGTTGCATAAGAAATTTACAGAAACACACTAGAGTTTATCTTCTTAAAAGAACCTCATCTGCGGCAATGTTTTCTGCTTATTATCAATGTAAAACTGCACTTGAACATTTGTAATTCTTCAAAAATTCTCTTTCTTTTTGCAAAAAAATAAATAAATAAAAAATCTGGCCAGAAAAAAATACAAGATTTTTTTACACCACTTCTAGAGCCGAATTAAAACAAACCCTTCCTGTCTATGTGCCCTTGTTCTTCTGTGTGATTAGCTGCCATTCTGCTGTTTGAGTTTGTGTTTGTCTTTCATTTGAGCCTTTGGTTTTTGTTTTCTTCTTCCATTTTAGACAGAAACTGTGGTTTTTCAAAARCCTCCCCAACCTCGGTTCTTTTTTGTATAAATCAACTCACAAGTTTTAGCTCATATATAAATATTCCTTGAAGAAATACATTTCACCTGCAAGTTTCYCGTTTTATTTTCACACCTGAAGTATGTGTGAGGGATGACTCTCAGCTACTACCACACTCAATTTTAGCTCCGCATCTACAAAACTAACTGTGTTACAACCCTTTTTGCATTTGCTAACATTGGTTAGCAGTCACGGCCATCTTGAATGAGGTTAACTCCAAGTTTATAAACAATAGATGTATCCAGTGATTACTCACTGAAAGTTTTCCAAAATCAATCAACTGGTTGGTGAGACTTNATTTAGCCAAAAGTCAAATTTAAACAGACACATGAGAGTCCACACAGGAGACAAACCATCTGGATGACATTAATCTGGCCTCCAGTTCTAATGTAATGAACCTTGGTGTTATTTTTGATTAGTGCTGGGTGATATGACCTTAAATTCATATCA